TTTTTTTTTAATGATTGATTGATTGACTGATTGATTGGTTGATTGATTGATTGATTGATGATTGATTGATTGATTGATTGATTGAATTTGTTTTTTTTTATTGATTGATTGWTTGATTGATTGGTTGGTTGGTTGGTTGGTTGGTTGGGTGAGGGTCGCCTGTTTCAATATCGTCGGTGCAGTGCAAATTTGAACCAAAATAGAATGTTTTGGATTAAATGGGAATAAGACTCAATAAGTCTGAATAACTTGAAACCAGCAGGAGCATGAAATCAAATGCGTGTTTCGGTGTGTCCTGCTAGAGAATATCAAATCGAATTTGGGGTCGCACATGCAATTCTCCTATCCCTGTGTCTTTCGGGAGATTGACCTGTAGAATTTGTCTTCCCGAGTCAAGGCTAAACTCTGCAGCGCCGCTGTTTGCCGTTTGAACGGGAGTCCAAGCACATAAATAGGAATCCAGCATTTAAGCAATGTTCGCCAACTTCTTTGTTCCGGTCCTGTGAACCGGCGAGCACCGAAGCTTTTGGACCAGGCATTCTCCATCTTTTTTTTTTTTTTTTCCCCTTTCCTTTTTCTTTGAAAAGCCTAGGGTGTTGTAGGGGCCAGGTACTAGGCACACATTGATCGCCCGGAGCGATCAGAAATGGTTTCTCTGAGGATGAGGGAACGTAGCTACCCATCTCAATCAGCTCGGGAACCCTTCATTCAAGTCTGTTGTGGTCTTTACGGCATGGGTTTGACCTTAGATCCACAGATTGCTCGTGTTCCACTCGTGCGTCTGCTCTTGAAACATAGTCGCACAGCCACAGCCTTGTTTTAGCGTTGAACAAGTACCCACTCAATAGAAAGAAAATTGAATACCAATTGGCCTAGATCAGTTGGTACACCCAAGGAGATGGGCAAATACTGCCCCGTGTTCGAATCCAGAAAAGAAAAAAAAACATCTGAATGAAGCATCGAATGAACCACCGCCAACTCTTTGCCCCAATCATGCGAACCAACGAGCACTGAAGCCTTTCAGGCAGTCGTTCTCAATCAGCCAAGAAAACCTTTAGGTAACGCTTTTTGGTACGTGCTGTCTTTCTATGCATCCGAAATCGGATTCAACGGGAGTTTTTCGTTGAACGGTTCAACTCCCATTCAACTCCCGTTTGAACTCCCCGTTGAACCGAGTTCAACGTGGTACAACTCGGCCCGCGGATTTGTTTTTGCAGGCAAAACATAGGTGAAAAAAAAAAAAAAACATATGGGGGTGTAGATTTTATTGCTCTGTACATCCCCATATTATTATGTTTATTTTTTTAGCATTAAAATTACTTTTTAAAAATCAAATACAAAACCAGACTCAAAACGTATAGATTTTTTTTCCTTTTTTTTTTTGATTAAATGATTGATTGATTGATTGGTGGGGGATGGGTAACCCCCCCAACCCCCACCCAATCACCCACCCACACACACACA